GCCAGCGGTCGCTCAGCACAGAGGCTCCACACACATGTCTCATTCCCTTGAAGTGGAGGCTGACCTGCCAGGGCCACTCGCCCTCCCGAGACGCTTGTCCTCCCACGATGCGAGAGCTGCGGTACGGCCTTATCCCGCACTCTGAAAGCACACATGCGTGCAGGCGTTACCGCCACTGAACTTCATACCACAACCATCTGTAGGCAAGTGTGTGGTTAACTTACCACAGTTATCCTCATCAGAGGCGTCGGTACAGTCCTGCACTCCGTCACACTCTGGGTTCATTTTACTGATGCAGAGTTTGTTTTTGCATTGGAAGGTGAACTCTGAGCACGTCTGCAGCACCACAGCTGAAAGACACGTGCAGTATCCGTGAGCAACGCTGACCCACAGGTATCCTTTACCTCAAAATGCTGCTTGATTAAAGATTTTCATGAAAACCATTTTCAGAAGTTCTTATTTGAACTTTACTTCTTACATTTTTCACATTTGGACTCATCAGACGCATCACCACAGTCATCTTTTCCATTGCACTTCAAATTCTCGGCAATGCAGCGGCCATTTTTGCAGGAAAACTGCCCTTTGCACCTTTCTGTAAAACAAGAGAAAAATCACTTATTTACTTCCCTCTACTCGAGTGTTTCATTTGACCTGTTGCTATTTTAATTCCAGAGCTCCTTTAAAGGAGTCCGTTTCAACAAAAACAAACACAGGCTAGTCTTCCACCTTTCTTCCACATGCACTACCTCTGCATGTCAACAGATTCTTATGGAAATGTGATTGCACAACCCTCTGCTCTGATTTGCCTGCTGTGCTTCCTACATTCCTCAACAAAACTTGCTTTACAGGCAGAACAACCTCTTGCATTATCTGCCACCTTGCATTTCTAGTCCAGTTTTTATTACAGTACTGTTTATGCACATATTACTTTAAAACGTATGGAGAAAAGAGGGATAAAATTTGCCTCTTGCTTTGGCGAAGTTTCAACTAATTCTTTGTATCAGTAAAAAAGGAAATCTATTTGGCTTTTATTATTTCCCTCAACTTGAATGTCTTTATACATTTTATTAATGCAGACCCTCAGTTTATTCTCCTTTTTTAATCTCCTCAGGTTTCTTCTGATTGGCTGCCCCTCCCAAATATAAAGGATTTGATTGGCAGGTAGGTGGGGCTAGTGTAAATGCAGTAGACCTACTTGTCTGACAAGACCATATTTGGGATATCCTCTGTCACTGACAACACTGCCTGAGTTTTTAGTGCAATAAACTTTAAGCGATGTTTAAAATAAACATCAACTGAAATAGCTCCAGTTTATTGTTTCGCTGCACTCACCACAGTTTTCCTCGTCCGTGCTGTCTCCACAGTCGTCCACCCCATCACACAGCCAAAATTTTGGTTTACAGTGACCATTTTTACACTGTATCTGAGACGCATCGCACTCTAATGAGGCACACAAAGAGAACCCAACATTGTTAGGGACAGAAAAGGTGAAAGACCATTTTCAATGTGCTCCTTTAATTTCATTCTTTTCAGACAGAAAGAAGTTTGACGGTTCGGACTCACTGCAGTTGATCTCATCGCTGCTGTCTCCACAGTCGCTCCAGCCATCACACCGCAGAGTGTTATTGATGCACAGGTTGTTGCTGCACGCGAACCTTCCTGGACAAGCTGATAGGACAAACATAACAGTACCTCATTTGTTTGCCGGCTTCAGAGAACGCTACAGTCCTTAAATTAAGCATGCATCCTTACGATTGTTCGGGGTGAAGGCCTCGTACTCAGCAGTGAAGCCCTGATCAACGTAGGAGGAGTCTGACTTAAATGTAATGGTCATCTTGTTGCTGTTGATGGTGAACACTGGGCTCTTCAAGTCACTGCCACACAGCCTATAACAAAGAAACACAAAACAATGTAACTAGGTTACATATTTTACACACACTTTTGCAATAATATAGATATAATACAGGATATAGATCTATTATAGGTACGTTACACATATGAAGGTATGTTATGAATATACTATAACTTTAAGTATGTACAGGCTGTAGCTGTAGTGAGTGTAAAACTATGTAGAGGTTATACAAATGGTTAAAAATATTAAAACTATAAAGATTGTAGATATACAATTGCGAGTATTAATAAACAGTTGTAAACAGTTATAAAACTGTAATTATTGTATTGGACAGTATGATTGTCTACACGGCATTTACAGTACTACACTTATCTACTGTTTCTGTCATTCTCAGTCCGGTCCTTGTACCCGACCA